TACACTAATTGCCCTAAATGATTGCTGTATATATTGGGTGGCTAAGAGGAATGGTATGAATAATAATGAGAAGCCAGTGGTGGAAACCAGGCCACTCATTCCCTCAACTGCTTCTACATAAACACATCTTTTTTCCTGTTTTTCTGTGCTTTCATGAGAACTTCTCCTCCATGTGGAAGTTTGGGAAGTAGCACCCCCCCCCCCATCCNNATCCCACTATACCCTATTTGGCTACTGTACAGCCACACATCCATGACACTCATTCAGGGGGCCCTGCCTATTAATTCCTATGGCCTACAGTTGGCCGGGCCCCGGCTGTCTCCTTCATGTCCGCAGCACGCCATGACTCACCGGCAGCTCCTTCCTAATGGAGAAGGAGTTCAGCGAGTCTGTAGCTGCCATCATAATAAACGAGCTGCCAGACTGCCACTAACTGCTCTTTTACAGGGGAAGGGGGAGGTGGGGGGTATAAGGGTGGGAGCGGCGAGGTGTCTGACGGTCTGCGGTTTACTCGGCCACTGTAAAACAGCAGCTCAGCGAGCGGGGGTCGTTCTGAGGAAGTGAACTAAACCGCCATGAGAGTCAGCATCCTGACTGCCACCGCGGCTCCAGCAGAGCGATGGAGCGGGGGGTGGGGGGGTGGCGGGTTTGTTTACAGAACTCTTGGTTTCTATGTGGCTCCACTTGTGCAGGTGTAGGAAATTACAGGTTTTTAACACAGCGAGACCCACATCACATACTTTCTCTGCTGCCACACAAAAAAAAACTTGGTTGGAATATTTCATGGAAATTTGCTTCAGTGCTTATCAATCAAAAACATACACAGGTGAAAATGAGGTGAGTTTGATTTTTACCTTTTTCTGTACGTTGCACGGGCACTTTACAGATTGTTCTAGTATCTGGCAGGATAAGTCACCTGCATCTGAACTACATCAAATATTTGAATCAATATTCATATCTATTTGTGTCTGGATCAGTATAACGGGGCCAACTGCCTCCTTTTTATGGAGCTCAGGCAGTATTTGGTTTTATTTACGGGGTAGTTGCAGCGATGACAAGGGAGGAGGGATACACAAGAGATGATTCAGGTGGGATTCAGTCATTGGCCAACAGGGAAAAGCTCCAGAAGAAAAGATCTGAGCTGCCACACCATCTATGGAAATGCACAATCTTCCTTTGATTTGTTAACTGGAGTCTGTGTTGTAGTCCGACGAAGGGCCAAAGTAGTAAAAGCAGCAAAGAGTGAACAGAAGGAGGACAATGAGGACATGATAAGTTAGACTACATTTGGTTTTGATTGCACGCAAGGCGGAATCCATCACTTTGAAACCTTTTCTTGTCACATGAATTCAGCTCATGAATATGTTGCAGTAAACAGCGGGGAGGCCGCTAATCCAAACACTCAGAAACAGCCAAAAGACTTGGCTTTTGTTTCTGTGGATGAGGCAAAAAACAAGCCCTCAAAGGTGGAGCATTGCTTGGCTTGTTCTGCGCCTGCATCAATGAATCAAGATAAAGCTGTTAAGGAAACATTTAATGGCCACGCCAGTTCGTCTTAAATGGGACTGCTGGCATTTTAAGCGAAGCTGGGCCTTCTGCAGCTCTTTGAGAGCCCTCAGTGAAACTATTACCCTGCCATCAACCCTGTCTCCCTCCAAATCGGAGAGCAATCAGCAGTGAAGGCCGACAAGCCGCTACCTCCCACTCTCCTTCTCGCCTTGGTTGCCGTCATCCTTATTTTCTTTCTCTGCCTCCTACTCTCCTTTCTCCCTCTCCCTATTTCTTTCTCTCAATCTCCCTCTCACTCCTTCTCTCCAGGAGCGAATGTTTACATTTCTTGCAACAGACTGCTTCGCGGGGCACCAGAGTTTATTTTGCAACCTGTGGTGATGGCTCGCTTCCTAGACAAGAGCTGGCAGCCTCTTGTTGTTGATTCTTAACATGTGTTCATCCGTTCACCTCCACGGCGGTGCGTTCCTCCCTCCCCTGCTCCTCCACCCCCCACCC